TCCCAGCACCGTGGACTGCATTTATTCCTTTTGATTTGTACAAACATTTATGCCCACCCCTTCTGTCTAGCCGTAGCAGTAAGGGGCACTAGCGATGAATTCCATTTAATGATGTAAAAAGTCATCGAAATAACCAAGAAAGAGTAACGTCAAAACGAAGCTCTTTAGAGTAGCCAGAGAGGAAGATAACCCAGCCCATCTCTGACCAACCCTCCAGAGCCCGACGTTTTGGCGAGGAGAGGAGCTTTGCCAGGTTTTGGCGCCAGCCAGGGCCACAGCAGGGAAGCCCATGTCGCATGGATCCACACTGGGTTTTGCTCCAAACACTGGGCAAGCTCCATGCTTGGGCAGCTGCTGGCAAGGAGAGAGCTCCAATGAGCTTCAGACCCATGTGTGTGTGGGGCAGCTGGTGCCGTTCCAGGGATTTCGTAAGTTGTTCTTGCCATACATTGTTCTTGCCAGCAGTCACGGTGACCTCCAAGGACAGCCCCGTGTGATGTGATCAAAGCCCTTCAGGTCTTACAAGGGCTCCATCACGTATTCCAACCAACCCCGTCTGCCTGTTTTCGTCCGCTCGCCTTCTCATTCCCTGGACAAAGAGGGGCAATCTCTGCTGTCGTACTGCCTCCTCTTGCATTTATACTTACCCCCATGTGGACAAGGCTCACGACCCACTTGAAAACAGAGAAGACTGTCAAAGTCACCGTGCAAGAACCCATGAACACTCAAAAAGTGGATTTCCAGCCACATAATCTCGTGTGGAAATGACTCTCTCCAAGCTGTACTCTCTGAGGATGGTCCTCCAAGAAGGATCGGAGCCAGGCAAATGCCAGACCACTGATTCCTGGCTCAGAGAGCCCCCCAGGAGGATACCGTGGCTGACGGTATCGAAGGCGGCTGAGATATCAAGGAGGACCAACAAAGACATTTTGCCCATGTCAGCCTGCCTCAGCAGGTCATCAAACTGGGTGACCAATGCTGTTTCCGTACCATGGTGCAGCCTGAAGCCTGACTGGAATGGATCCAGGGCATTGGTCTCATCCAAAAGAGCTTGAAGCTGGTCAGCCACCACTCTTTCTACCACTTTGCTGAAGAAAGAAACATTGGCGATGTGCCTATAATTGCCAATGCCATCTGCCACCAAACTTGGTTTCTTCGTTATGGGTCTAATGAGTGCCTCCTTGAGGGTGAGAGGAACCTTGACCTCCTGGAGAGACCCATTAGAAGAAAGAAACATTGGTGATGTGCCTATAATTGCCAATGTCATCTGCCGCCAAACTTGGTTTCATCCTTATGGGCCTAATGAGTGCCTCCTTGAGGGCGAGAGGAACCTTGCCCTCCTGGAGAGACCCATTAATTATTGCTATGGCCCATTTGGTTCTTTTAGGACTGGCTGCTTTGATTAGCCAGGCTGGGTAATGGTCAAGGAGGAGGAGGAGGCACTACAGCAGTCAAGCACTTTATCCACCATATCTGCCATCACAGGCTGAAAGTGGTCAAGGAGGAGGAGGAGGCACGACAGCAGTCAAGCGCTTTATCCACCATATCTGGCATCACAGGCTGAAAGAGATTGAGTCTCATCGGGCAAGGTGGAGCGCTGGACGTCTCTGCTTGATCTAATATGTTAAAAAAAAGGAGAGAGCTCCCGGCGGATGGCCTCCACTTTAGATTTTAGATGTCCGAGGCATCTCAACACAACAGCAAAGGCCTGTTCCATAAGTTCTGGTATGCAGGTGTGCTGGGTCACGGTGGGAGTGGGTATGCCACCATCGGTCCCATTCTGGCCAAAAGGTAATCTGAGGCGAAAGAGGGCAGAGACCCTGCTGATATTGAGGGAGTTCCTGTGGAGGAAGGCACCACCCCTGGCCTGCCCTGATGCTGGATGGAGTAACCTGGGAAGCACAACTGGGAAACAAGTGCAGCTCTCCTTTCCTCTCCTACCCAGATCTCGGGTCAGCCCTTTCCCTCTTCTGTCAGGTCTAATTTGACCCACACGACTTTTAACAGCCCCATGTGCAGATCAGAAGGTCGGCTGATAGGGTTACCTCGATTCTATTGGCTGAGAGGAGGAGGGGTAAATGACTGTCTTCCACCCAATATCATCAAAACAGGTGTAACTCCTCTCTCAAGGGTATTGTCCATGTTGGCATACCTAACTCTGAGAGCCTGGATTTCTTTTCTCTTTTTTTTAGCTAAAAGGACTAGAAATCTGGCTTCAGGGGAAGATTCATACTGGGTTCTGGAAACTGTAGTGAAAAAGATCCAAAAGCTCAAACACCATGCTTAGTGGTACCTTAAGGACTAGTGTACATCCTTAAGGCTTGCAAACTCAGCCTTGCGTTAGGTCCTTCCTCTCTCCCGTCTGCCTTTGTTTATTTATATTTTTTGACAAGACTTGCACCCAAAAAGAACAGTAGCCTCCATTTAGGGGTTCTAGCTGCAAAAGAGACTTCTGAGGTTATTATTTATGGTGCTTCTTCCGAAAACAGCCCCGTGATGCCAAGAGAACAAAACAAAATGGACACATCCTCCTTCTATATCCCTGATGCTCTAGATTTCTATTGGCAGGGAGTGACACCCCTTCTTTTGTTTCACCCTGGCCTATGTGCAGATCCTGCCTGAGGGTGAGGACAAGACCCTGCAGGTTAAACAGAAGAGGATGGACAGTGGAGGTGGGGCAGGGATTCTCATGAGAGCTCTGGGTCACACCGAGACCCCTGCAGCAGGGCTGAGATGTACGACTTGTGACATGGGTCTTGCGAGGAGCACAAGGCTAACACAGCTCTGGAGAAGAGGCTGACTCTGTCGTAAGAGACTCCCTCCCTCAGACTCCACCGGAGAGGGGAAACCTGACTGCCCTACACAGCCGGGGGGGTGGGAGCGCAGCCTCTCAGCTCCCTCTGGACAGATGAAAGAACCCAGTGCTCCTCAGCCACCATGGGCCCCATCCTGCAGGAAAGGGACGAAAGGGGGGGGGAACAAACTGGATCAGGACAGAGGAAGAAAGTCCCCTCCCCCCCCAAAAAAAACAAAAAGGGGATCAAGAGTGGAACAGTGGGGGGGTGTCTCAGTAGGAAGGAGGAGGGGGCAAAGCAGAAACCAATCGACTCTGGGCAACCACCATGACCTGCTCCAGTCTCTCCCAGTTGGGTTGCCAACGCTCACAACGCTTCACTCGACCAGCGCTTCATAGCGTGACTTGATCGGGTGGTCCCGTTTGAGTTTGGAGAAAGAAGGAAAGTTTCTTCAAGGGGTGTGTGTGTGATTTTCATTTCCATGGGGGTGGGGGTGGCGCACGCGCACAAGAGGGACGGAGAGCAGGAAGAGCCGCCGCTGAGGAAAAGGAGGGGCCTGGGCGGGGGGAGGCGGTGTTGGAGGACGGCCGGTCAGTCAGTCACTCGACCGGGAAAAAAGGAGGGCTTCTGCCCGGAGACAGGTGACGCGCAGGAGGCGGATAAGGAGCGAGCTCTCATTGGGCCTCCATTGTCTTCTGGGCGGAAACAGCACCTCCTCCCTTGCGCGTCGCCGGGTTGCCAGGCAACCCCCTCATGTGTGTTTAGTCGTTTAGTCGTGTCCGACTCTTCGTGACCCCATGGACCAGAGCACGCCAGGCCCTCCTGTCTTCCACTGCCTCCCGGAGTTGTGTCAGGTTCATGTTGGTTGCTTCGCAGACACTGTCCAGCCATCTCATCCTCGGTCGTCCCCTTCTCCTCTTGCCATCACACTTTCCCAACATCAGGGTCTTTTCCAGGGAGTCTTTTCTTCTCATTAGATGGCCAAAGTACTGGAGCCTCAGCTTCAGGATCTGTCCTTCCAGTGAGCACTCAGGGTTGATTTCCTTTAGAACTGATAGGTTTGTTCTCCTTGCAGTCCAGGGGATTCTCAAGAGCCTCCTCCAGCACCACAATTCAAAGGCATCAATTCTTCGGCGGTCTGCTTTCTTTATGGTCCAGCTCTCACTTCCATACATCACAACAGGAAAAACCATAGCTTTGACTATTCGGACTTTTGTCGGCAAGGTGATGTCTCTGCTTTTCAAGATGCGGGCGGGATGGAGAAGGGAGAGGTGGGAGAGACGGCAAGCAGCGCCTCCCCCCTGCCCTGCGTTGACCCCAACGCGGGGGCTGATGCTCCCTGGGGAGAAAAAGTGGGGCTGAGGTCCAAGGGGGTCCCTTGAAAGGCTGAAGGGGGGGACACCCCCAGCGTACCCTCCTCTTCTGGGGGAATTGGCCTGAAATCACTAGGAAACACAAGGAAGGGGAGTCACCGTCTGCCGGCGGAAGCTTCTCCCAATGGAAGGCCTGACGGGCAAGACCCAGCCTTTCTCCCCCCCTCCTTTCTTCCCGGTCGAGTGACTGGCCGTCCTCCAACTGCCCCCCCGTCCCCCCAACGGCTCCTCTTCGCGCACGAGCGAGGGCTCCCCCTTTCCCTCAGCGGCTGCTGTCCGAGCCATCTCCCCCCACTCTCCCATCTCTATCCAACCCTTGGCCCCCTTTAATGCTCGGGGAGGGGGCGCTCCTCCTCCTCCTCGCTTCCTTTTCTGAGGGGCCGTCCAGGCCGCCATCCTCTGCCTACTCCTCCAGGGCGGACCGACCCAGGACCACCACACACACACACACTTCTGGGGTCTCAAGAGGACAAGGAGGGAGAAGGAGGGAGACTCCGAGTCCGTCTGCAGGGAAGAACAAGGGAGAGCCAATGAGAACTCGCTCCTCTTGCGCGTCACCCGTTGCTGGGCGGAAGCCCTCCAAGGCTGGTCCCCTTGGGCGTCCCTCTGCCGTTTTATGGCGTGGCGTCTATGAGGGGGTTGCCTGGCAACCCAGTGACGCGTCACCCTTTGGAAGGCTGGGCAAGAACCGCCGTTTTCCCAACCCCCCTTTCTCTCCCGGCGAGAGACTGACTGACGGGATGCCCTCCAAGCCCACCCACGGCTCCTCTCGTTGGAAGGCTGGGCAAGAACCGCCTTTTCCCCAAGCCCCCCTTTCTCTCTCCTCGAGAGACTGACTGACGGGCTGCCCTCCAAGCCCACCCACGGCTCCTCTCTGCGCACGCGCGAGATCCCCTCTGGCTGCTCCGCTCGCTCTCCCTCCTGCGCATGCGCTCCCCTGCCTCACAGAGGGGTCGAGGGGCGCTTGGGTTAGCCAGTGAGAAGGCAGCCGTTGGCCTTAACTGCTCGCCTCAGAAAGGCGGTTGTCGAGTTTTACTAGCGGCTTATTTTTTTAAAATTCCTCCCTCAGGAGAGGGAGAGAAAAAAGGTGGGGGATGCCCTGTTCTTGTCCGTCAGGTTCAGGAGTGCCCTCATGCCCGCCTCTTATCTGTGTGTCGTCACGTACACACCCTGCCCTTCTAAAGGCCTCCGTGACAGGGAGATGTTCAACAGGGTGGGGCTTTTCCTCAGGTCCCAACCGTCTCCTCCCTCCCCACACGTTTGAATGGGGCGAAAGACTTCCCCCCCCTCCAGGGACAAGGCTGGGTGGGACAGTTGTATGACGGGCAGCCGCACCAGACCTGAGTCTATTTTTTTGGGGGGGGTGGAGGGTCAGATCTCGGTACCTGGAGGGAAAAGCTCCCCGAAAAGGAGGCCAGGAGTGGAGATGTAGCTTACTGTCGAGAAACACCAGTGACCACTCAGACTGGACCAGGTTTTTTTTGGGGGGGGGGG